TATATATCCCTACCAGACTGTGAGCTACAATGAGTTTGCTCATCATCACTTCCATCCTGTACTTCTACTTCTGTCATCTGAAGTCTTTTTGCTTCAAGTTCCAACTTCAGCTTTTCCAACTCGAACATTCTTTCCCTTTCCTTCTCTTCAGCCATCCTTTCTTTTACTTTTTGTTCTGCTAGGGCAATTCCATCCTATTCTCCTTCCTCTGCTTTTAACTGTGTATATATCCCTATCAGGCCTTTGGCTACGATTGCTCATCGTCACTATCCTCCTCACTATGCCCACCTTCTACCTTCATCTCCATCCTGTTACGCTGACTTTTCTGTCTAATTGCCAACTTCTGAAGTTCAAACTTTCTCTCTTTCTCCCTCTCTTCTCTCTCTTTCTTTTTCCTCTGCTTTTAACTGTAATTCAAACTGTTTTTGTTCTTCTGCCATGGCTATCCTTTTCTTTTTTTTTCCTTCTGCCAGAGCGAATCTTTTTGCTCAGCTAAGAACCTTCTTTTCCTTTCTTTGTCCTCTAACTCCAGTTGTCTCATTTGCAATTTTATACTTTTTCTAACTCCACTGCATTTGACTGTTTCACTGAAATATCTAAATGCTTGGCTAACTCTGCTACAATTTCAGCTTTCTTATTATTTCTAGTTAAACTCAATTTTAGCCTGTTTGCTAATTCAAAAAGCGTCACCTTTTTCTGTCTTTCTAAATTTTCTTAGCAAATTTGGGAAGCATCTTTGAGCCCCTGAACCTCTTTAGTAATGTTATGAGCCATTTCCCCACTTTTGATTTAATCAACATGTCACCGAAATTAAACAGATTTTCTACTTCTCACTTAAGTTCTATTTAAAGATCTAGGACACTAGCCCCCAAGTCTGTTTAAATCTGCTGGGGCCTTTTATACCTAAATCTGTTCGAATCTATCCAAATTTGTCTGGATCTGTCCAAATCCCAGACGATGAGCCCTCAATGTGTTATAAAGTGGAGGTTGACCCCCTACTCTGAGAACTAAAACCAAAGCACCAAAAAAGGAGCACCTCACCTCATAATTTCTAAAAGGAGTGTGAAACATGGTGTAACCTGCCTTTCAGCAACTTCAAGTGGTGAAATAAAATAAATTCCTGACACTCACTTTAAAATCAACAAGTAACAATTTACTTAACTAACTCTAACAGTGAACAAATTAACTGAAGTATTAACAAACCGAAAAACCCCTTCTAACTGATAACTACGCCCGAATAAAGCAAGATTCTAATGGCATGCTGTTCCAATAAATAGAAATCCCACCTATGTAAAAGAAAGTATTTCGTCTCTCGAAATTACAGCCAGATTACATGTCTTCTGGAATGTTCTGCACCTTTTCTGTTGATTCTTCTGTCAGAAATATTAACTAGTTGTGCCATTGGTACCACTGGTATTTAGATGGTGCTTTCCTTAAGACAGAGAAGAATGCGAGAGCCGGCAATTCTCTCGAAAGCTGAGGGACATTAGCTCTGGCAGATGGCAGCTAGCTCTGGACTTTCTCCAACTGTCCCCTTCTTTTTATACCCTTGATGACTTATCAATATTTCTTACAATAGGATTGGTCCTATGCTGTCAAAACCATCATACTTAAATCTAATAGGTTTTGGTATCTAAGTGCCTGGTTCAAATTGATTGGCTAAATTCAAAAGCCTAGTGTCTTGGTAAAATAAAATACCACTGCTTGGCCTGCTAACTGTACGGCCTTTTGAAACAAATGTTTCAATTCGGGTCATCTCTGTATGCATGCAAACTTTCAAGCTGCTGCTCACAGACATTCAATTTGAATCTCTATGCACAGAAAAAGCATATCATCTTTAAAGGGACCATGCAATGCTTTCCCCTCTAGCATTTTACAAACACCAAATTCTAACTTCTTGCCTCTCAATCCACAAGCACTCTTAGCCAACTTCACAACAGTTGGGAATGAGTTATCACAAATCTCTCACTTTTTCTTCTGCGTGTTGGTGTGTGTGGAGGCTTCGTGACCGTGAGAATGATTTGTCACACACCTCACATGGGCCTTTTGGGTACTAGTTGCGGCCTTCTGCCTATTTGTCCGCAAATACTAAATCCACCTTTTGAAATCTGTGTACCATTTTTAAAAATTTTTACTGGTAACCCAGTCATGCCAAAATCTAAGAAAAGAACATTAAAGGAAGAGAACAGGGTATTCAATGAAGAATGGGAATTGCAATATTATGTAGTTGCTGTGAAAGATAAAATGATGTGTTTGCTCTGCCACACCATAATTGCAACAGCGAAGAAACACAAAGCATATCAGCATTATGCAACTCATAAGGACCACAAATATGCTAAACTGGAAGGAGAACCCCTAAAGTCTGCACTTAAGAAAATGAAAGATCAAAAGCAGCAGCAGCAAGTATTTAAAACGATATCAGGACAAGGGACTGACATCACTGAAGAAACTTATAAAATAGCACTCGAATACTTGGCAGAAGAGGTAATCCATTTAGCTATGTGGAAGTTATAAAAGAATGCATTGTTGAAATTGTAGGAAGTTTAGATTCAGATAAGGTTAATAAGTACAAACAACCACCTCTTTCAAGAAGGACCATAACTGATTGGCAACATGAATTAGCCCTCAATGTAACAGAATAACTTCATACAATATGCCAAAGAGAAGACATTCATTGTTCGATTGCCTTGGATGAATCCACTGACGTTACTGACTCAGCGCAGGTGTTATTTTTTATTTGTGCAATAACTGCGGATTTTTATTGCCACAAGGAGTTACTGGTTTTGGGTACCTTTAAAGCGAGGGCACATGGAATTGATCTTTGCTATCTACAAAGAAAAATGCCTGAAGCAAAACAGAATCTCTGTGCCAAATCTACTGTTTTAAGTGACATATTAAATAAAGTTATAGGTATTGTAAACTACATTCAAGCAAATGCATCACAGCATCATCAATTTCGCAAATGTTCAGCTTGATGATGAAATATTCAGTGAGGATCTGCCATATCATTCTAAAGTGCGCTGGTTGTCACAAGGACAAATACTTGTAAAAATTTTACCTTTGCAAAAACAAATCACAAGATTTTTTGAGGACCTGAATGAACCATGTGAATTGTCAAAACAGGATTTCTGCAGAAATGCTGCATTTTTTTGTGATATAATGTCAAAGCAAAATGATCGGTTTTTTTTTGCAAGGTAAAACTAAATCTATACATGATATGTGGCTAAAAATCCAGGTATTTCGGAAAAAGCTGACCTTTATCAAAACTCTCCTTACCCAATCAGAACCTTCAGCTGAACACTTTCCTGAATTGGCAAAGGTAATTAATGAACAGGATACAAGCAAATCATTAAGGAAATACAACGTGAAAGAATACACAGTTGTTCTAGACTCCCTGATTGAAGAATACAATGAAAGGTTTGCAGATTTTGAGAAACTAGCTTTTCAACCACACCTGTTTGATGTCTCCAAAACACCTGATGACTTACAGATGGAACTGATTGAGCTCTCAGAAGATAATATTCTGAAGTCTCTATTTGATGCTAAGAAGGATCCCATTGAAATATGGAAAAGTGCTGTTGAATACCCATGTCTACATCAACATGCTCGTCGAATGCTGTCTTGTTTAGGCACAATCTACTTTTGTGAATCAACATTTTCATGTGTGACACAAATTAAAATGTGCTTGAGATCTCAGATGATGGATATTCACCTGGAGGACCAATTAAAGCTACGGTCAACGAGGTTGGAAGCAAATATCTGATTCCTATCTTGCAATAAGCAATCACAAAAAAGTCATTAAATGGTTTTTTGTCTAGATGTTTCAGTTATTACTAGTTCTATTGTCAACTCTGCAAAACAAATAAACGTATCTTTGCTGAATTCTTATTTTGTTTAAAGTCCTCATATAATAGCAGGCTTTAATTAAAATGAGTAAATCTGTCGACAAAAATATGACATTTTGTTGTATATGTTAAATTCTCAGCATGCAGCCTAATAGAATCTCAGTTAAATAAAATGTGGCCTTCCAATGTAAAAAGGTTCCCCACCGCTGCGTTAGTGTATGCGAAGGATTCCTGATTGTGAGAATCATTTAACAGGCACCTCACATTGAAACAATTTCTCTGCTGTGTGAATATGCTGGTGTGTGTGGAGGGTTCCTGCCTGTGTGAATGATTTGTGGTACAACTCACACCTGAATGTCCCCTATTTGAATCCTCTAATGGAGCAGGAGTTTCGATGATGTGGGGAATGATCTGTCAAACACCTCACATTTAAACAATTTCTCCCCTAAGTGAATACAATGGTGTATGTAGAGCTAAACTGACTATGAGAATGATTTGTCACACACTCGACATGGGAAGGGTTTCTCTCCCCTGTGGACACATTAGTGTTTGTGCAGATATCCTGAATGGGAGAATGATCTGTCACACACCTCACAATGGAAGGGTTTCTCCCCTGCATGGATATATTGATATATATGGAGGTATCCTGATTGCGAAAATGATTCGTCACAAACCCCATGGTTTCTCCCCTGTGTGGACAAGTTGGTGTATGTGGAGTTTTGATGACTGGGAGAATGATTTACCACACTGTCTGCACATGACTGGCTTCTTCCCTGTGTGAATGATTTGGTACCTGAGGAGGATTGATGACAATGAGAATGATTTGTCACATACCTCACGTGAATGTTTTATCCCCATGTGAATGTGTTGGTCATTCATGGGAATGATCATGGGAAATCTTGGTTACATATCCCAGATTTGAACTAGTTCTCCCCAGAATGAGTGCATTAGTGTTTCATGAATGGAAGTGACTTTGCAAAAGCTCACTCGCAGTTGAGACTATCCACTATTATATAACCAGTTTTGTTTTAGTAGATTTATAACAAATGCACATTATGTGTTAAGACAGCCTTTCAGCCTACACACCTCACACTTGAACAGCTGCTCACTTGTAGGAATGAGTCACTGCTTCATGAAAATGATTGAAGCTCTTACCACACTTGAAGCCACTCAACAGTTCTTCCTAGCCTCATCCTGACTGATCATCCACAGCCGAACCTTCAGAAAGGTTGGTTGTGTTGAAGGCTCCACACCACTGACCAGTTTCAGATCTGATGATATGTCAAAGGTCCCCTGACCCGCCTGATTTCCAGCTGATGGTTTCACTGCCCAACCTTCTCTGTGTTAAGCAATGCTGTGAAGGGACTGACTGTCTTCCCACGGTTGTGCAGTTGTTCCTTGGCTGATGGTCAGGATCTATCTGTGGTGTCTATTCTCTTTGTATTCTCTGATATAGTACTGTGCAATTCTTCTGTAAAACAGGAAAAGAAAACATGATTTTCACCAACTCCCTCTCCTCCTTTGCGAACAGCTGATTTCCCAGTTTTAATCACAGTTTCACAGAATGTGGCTATCATTGACAAGATCAGCACTGTTGCCCATTTATAACTCACCTTCAGAAAGTGATGCTGAAGTATCCCTGTGTGGCATGAAGCTTGGGAGAGAAGGGCTGCTGTGGATGTTAAACCTAAAATGCAGCTAGTAAGGAAATCGCAGGATTTTGCTCCAGAGACAATTCACAGTCCACTGCACAACAATCAGCTCCCAAACTGAACAGAACTCAACATTTGGAAATCAGTAAAACTCTTCAGACACTCTGCACTCCCAGATAATTACACCACACCTTCTCAAACTCAGGAATGAGCCATCAACAATTCTCAGCCTGGAAATCAGAAAGGAAATACTTCCAATAAATACACTCAATATCCAACATACAGCTCCATTCAAACAGTTCAGCATGAAGCACCGAGCAAACAGCTCTCCTAGCTGGATCTTCTCACACAGCATAAGGGGCATTTCCACCCCTGATTGCCCACAGGATTGTCAGACTGCCTGAAGATTGGTGTGGATATTATGATACAATTTGTATAAAAGCTGCTCTTCACTCACCATCTCCTCACTTGGTTTTCAGTCCCTATAGGAAGTGAACCAGCTCTGGAAGAGGAAGAGGAGAGACTGGGCAGAGTGGGTGGGCTCTCTGATTGACGTCTCTCACAGTCAATCCAAATATTTCTGCAGCAACATGAGTTTCCTGAGAGATAGTCAGAACTGCCAATGCTAGGGTCTGAGATAACACAGTGTGGAGGTGGAGGAACCAGCAGGCCAGGCAGCATCAGAGGAGCAGTAAAGTTGGCATTTCAGGTCGGGACCCTTCTTCAGAAATGGGGGAGGAGAAGGGGGCTCTCAAATAAATAGAGAGGGGGGGTTGGGCTGGGGAAGGTAGGTGGGATGGTGATAGGTGAGTGCAGGTAGGTAGTGGTGGGGATTGGTCAGTGGGGTGGGAGGAGCGGATATGTGGGAGAGAAGACGGACAGGTCAAGGAGGCGGGGATGAGAGGGAGACTTGGTCTTGGGATGAGGCCGGGGGTGAGGAGATTTTGAAGCTAGGAAAGTCCACATTGAGACCATTAGTTTGTTGGCTCCCAAGGTGGAATATGAGGCACTGCTCCTCCAGTTCCCTTAAAACTTCTCTTTCAACTCCTCAAATTCCTACAGAATAAGGGGGTGGCCGTGGGAACCTGCATGGGCTCAAGCTATGCTTGCTTCTTTGTCAGATTCATGTAACAGTCCCTCTTCCACCACTACACTTGCACTATCTCCCATCTCTTCCTCTGCTACATTGATGACTGTATTGACACCGCCTCGTGCTCCCATGAGGAGCTCGAACAGTTCATCAACTTTACTAATACGTTCCACCCCAACCTCAAGTTCACCTGGATCATCTCTGAATCCTCTTTCTTCCTGGACCTCTCTGTCTCCATCTCTGGTGACCACCTCAAAACTGATATCCGTTTCAAGCCCACCGACTCCCACAGCTACCGAGACTACACCTCCTCTCACCCACCTTCCTGCAAGAATGTGATCTCCTACTCCCAATTCCTCTGCCTCCACCGCATCTGCTTCCAAGATGAGGTGTTCCACTCCCAAATATCCCGATGTCCTCGTATTTCAAGAACCGCAACTTCCCCCCTTCAGGAAGCCCTCAACTGCATCTCTTGCATTTCCCACACCGCTGCCCTCACACCCCCTCCCCGCAGTAAAAACAGAGACAGAATCCCCCTTGTCCTCACGTATCACCCCATTAACTTCTGGATTCAACGCGTAATTTTCTGCCACTTCCACCACCTGCAATCTGACCCCACTACGAAGGATATATTTCCCTCCCCACCCTTAGCTGCCTTCCAGAGGGACTGCTCTCTCTGCGACTCCCTTGTCTGCTCCACACTTCCCAATAGCGCCATCACCCCTGGCACCTTTCCCTGCAACCGCAAGAGGTGCTACACCGGCCCCTACACCTCCCCCTCACCTCCATCCCAGGCTGCAAAAAAACCTTCCACATCAGACAGATGTTCACGTGCACATCCGCTAATGTGGTCTATTGCATCTGCTGTTCCCGATGTGGCCTCCTCTACATCGGGGAGACCAAGCGGAGGCTCGGAGACCACTTTGTAGAGCACCTGCACGCTGTTCGTGACAAACGACAACACCTTCCAGTCAAGAACCACTTCAAATGCCCCTCCCACTTCCTGTACGACATGTCCAATCTATGCCTCCTCTAGTGTCACAATGACGGCACCCGGAAACTGGAGGAGCAGCACCTCATTCCGCCTTGGGAGCCTAAAACCCAATGGTCTCAATGTGGACTTTACTAGCTTCAAACTCTCCCCACCGCCGGCCTCATCCCTCGACCAACTCTCCCTCTCACCCCTCCTCCTTGACCTGTCCATCTTCTCTCCCACATACCCGCTCCTCCCACCTCACTGACCAATCCCCACCACTACCTACCTGCTCTCACCTATCACCATCCCACCTACGTTCCCCAGCCCGACCCCCCCATCTATTTATTTCAGAGCCCCCTTCCCCTCCCCCATTTCTGAAGAAGGGTCCCGACCCAAAACGTCAGCTTTCCTGCTCCTCTGATGCTGCTTGGCCTGCTAGGAGTTTCCTGAAGCTTAGGAAACTGTCCAGTGAAATGGAGGTTACTTTGAACAGCAGATCAGGTGGGGATTTAAGCTTGTCATTGTCCCCATCTGAACAAATCCTCACTTATTGCAGCTGCTGCCTCAGTTCCCCTGGTAAATGTTTGACAGAGATTTCTAGTGTGGGAATAGCATTCTTCATCTCAGAGGCTTTCAAACTGACAGCATCAGTGTGGGATGTGTGTCCTCCGACGTGTTTGACAACAATTCAGAAGAGGAAGTCCAATGCGTGTGTGAAAACAGTTTGAAGACACCAAATGGCTAGATATTCTTATAACGAAGCAGCACAATTTTTTTATGCATGGCAGGCAGGTTAGCACTGCTGCCTTGCTGTGCCAGGCACCTTGGTTTGATTCCAGCCTTGGGTGACCGTCTGTGTGGAGTTTGTATATTCTCCCCATGTCTGTGTGCATTTCCTCTGGACGCTCTGGCTTCCTCCCACAGTGCAAAGATGTGCAGGTTAGGTGGTTTGGCCAAGGTAAATTGCCTCATAGTGTCTTGGGATGTGCAGGCTAGGTGGGTTAGTTATGGCAAATTCAGGATTACAGGGATAGAGTGGGGATCTAAGTCTGGGTGGGATGAACTTTGGGGGTTGGGGGGGATCAGTGCAGACTTAATGGGCCGAATGGCTTCTTTTGTTTTACTACAGAGGGACTTTCTGAAATTATTTTAACTAGGGAGAAGGTATTAAGTAAATTGATTAGGTTAGATTAAGGGAGAGAAGTCCCTGGGGTTTGTGGCCTGCACCCTATGGTATTAAAGGAGGTGGCAGCAGAGATAATAGATGTATTAGTTATGATATTCCAAAATTCCCTGGATTCTGGAAAAGTATCAATTTATTGGAAGCACAAAAAGTGGAAACTATAGAACAGTTAGTTTGACTTCTGTGGTGGGGTAGTTGTTCGAGTCCATCATAAAGGAGGAGATAACCGAACAGTTAGAAAAACAAAGCTCAATTCATTAGTGTCAGCATGGTTCATGAAGGGCAAATTGTGCTTGACAAACTAGCTGGAGTTCTTTGAGGATGTAACCAACAAGGTCAATAATGGGAATTTGGTGGATGTGGTATATCTAGATTTCCAGAAAGTATTTGACAAGATGCTGCGTTAGAAACTGATACAGAAGGTTAGATCCCAGAGGTTAAGTGTAGAGTATTGGCTTGGATGGAGGATTGGCTGACTAACAGAAAGTAGTGGGTTGGAATAAATGGGTCCTTCTCTGGACGGCGAACTATAACTGGTGGGGCGCCATATGGTTCTGTTTTCAGACCTCAACTATTTACAATCTATATAAATAATCTGCAAGCATTGACAGATTGAATTGACAGATAAATATTCGTAGACGAGCAGAATGGGCCAGAAACTGGCAGATGTAGTTTAATGTGGATAAATATGAGATTATTTATTTTGGTTGGAGAAACAAAAGGGCAAACTATTATTTAAATGGGAAGTAGATTTAAAGTGCGTCAGTGCAGAGGGATCTGGGCATCCTTGTGCAGAATCGCAGAAAGTGGGCATGCAAGTACAGCATATAATAAGAAAGGCAAGTGGAATCTTGGCATTTATTGCAAAAGGACTGGATTATAAAAGTAAAGAAGTGGTGCTGAGGCATTGGTGAAAACACACCTGGTGTATCGTGTTCAATTTGGGTCTCCATACTTGAGGAAGGATGTGGTGACACTGGAGACAGTTCAGAGGAGGTTCACTGGACTGATTCCAGGGATGAAAGGACTATTGTACGAGGAGCAATTGAATAGCTTGGGCTTGTACTCCCTGGAGTTCAGATGAATGAGGGGGTATCTGATTGAGGTATACAAAATACTAAAGGGGATTAATAAAGTGGACATTTAACAGATGCTCCCATTGTGGGTCAGTGTAGAACATGAGGCCACAGATATAGAGTGAGAGGAGATAGGTTCAAAACTGAGATGAAGAGAAACTACTCTTTTAGAGGGTTGGGAACTTCAGAACTCACTGCCCTAGAGTGCAGTGGAGGCAGAATCAATCAACAGATTCAAGAAAGAAATAGATATTTTTTACGATGGAAAGCAGAATAAAAGGCTATTGGGAGCAGGCACGAAAGTGGAGTTGACACCAGGATAAGATCAGCCATGATCATGTAAAATGGCAGAGCAGGCTCAAATGACCCTCTCCCGCTCCTAATTCCTGTCTTCCTCTGTTTCTATTTCTGCACTGTATGGGTTCGATGATTCCATGAACATCTAGATAGTATTGAGAACGAGGAATGAACATCTGTTTTCAGCTGGTGGTCATGTGGATGAGCCATCTGGATGAGATCATGCTGGCAACTCACTGTTAACCAACAGAATGGATTATTACAACTCATATCCAAATATGGCACAGAAACACTCCGAATGAATGATAAACATAGAAATGTCAAGATTGGTACAGTCATCCCCATCACTCTGCAGTGACACCTTCCAAACCTGTGATCTCTATCACCAAGTAGGACAAGGTCAATGGAGACATGGAAGGCACCACCTGTAGTTTCCCACCAAGCCACACACCATCCTGACATGGAACTTTATTGCCATTCCTTTACTGTTGCTTGGTGAAAATCCTGGAATCATCTCCTTAAAAGCACTGTGTGTCCCTACATGTAAGACTGCTACGGTTCAAGAAGACAGCTGCCACCAACTCAAGCAGGGAATTTAGGGATGGAAAATAAATGCTAGCCTAGCCAGTGATGCCCACATCCCATGAGTGAATAAAAAAAGAATCACAGATTGAACAAAAAGTCTTCCTGACACACAGTTCAAATCAGGAAGAGGACAAAGATTTTGCCTGTGCTGTCAGAAACTCAGAGGACCTGCATTTGAAGATTAATCCATGCTGTCTACTTTGTCTTTTGTTAAGTCTATTTACTGTTCTTCAATAGTAAATCCTACTGTGCTTTGTTCCTTCCGACTGTTT